GGTGTCCAGGGATACTGCATGCACATGCATCTCCTCCCCTCCATAGACACATAATAAAAATTAAAATCTTTTAAAACATTCATTCTTATTTTATGTATATGAGTGTTTTGCCTGAATATATGTAAATGCACCCATGTTGTGACAAAACAAAATCTTAATTAGGGCATTTTTCTTCAAAGTATTTAAAAGATTAGTCAATTTAAATTTGGCAAATATATGTCCAGATATATTTTATAATGTAAAATATACCAGTATAAATATTGTGTAATCAAATCATTCAATAAATAACTATGCAAATTTGTTCAGGTACTGTGAAGAATAGATAAGAAGGTAGTAATGAACGCACTGCAATCAAGGAGCTTGCAATCTCCTTCAACAGATAAGACAAAGATCTAAAAAGTGCTAAGCTCCATTTTCCTCTTCTCTGTACTTATTTTGTTCCTAAAAGGGATGAGGAGAGCTAGTCATTGTTGCAGATGTGAGAAGAAACTATCCCAAGGGCATCATACTAGAGAAAGGCAGTATCACCTCAGGCTTTGTGGAGGACAAGAGGGTATGTCAGTAGTCCTTAAGTTAATGAATTGTCACAGAGTATAGTGGCTCACATCTGTACTCCCAGCACTTGGGAGGCTTAGGCAGGAGGATTGCCATGGACTTGAGTTCAGTTCAGCTTGGTCTACCTAGTGAGTAGTCACTCTCATGCCAGCCTGCAGAGTGAGACCTTTTGTCAAAAATCAAGAAGAGTAGCACCACCACCACCTCAACCAAAACCCAGAACAAATAAAAAACCATAAATGAGACCTTACCACTATCAGAAATGGGATGTTCAGAAGAATATATTCTGAAACAAACAGAAATACACTTAAATGGAATAGATTTGAGGGATGAGTGCAATCTTTAGAGGAAATAGAAACTGACAATAAAAATATGGACTAGAAATTTGAGGAACATGTCCTTTCAAATCTTAGGTCTAAGAATTCTCTGAGATAAGCATTGAGAGAAGAAATAATGGAGATGATGTTAGGTGTAACATCTGGGTTCAGGGTCTTTAAAAGGAAGAGGAAATGAAAGATAAGGAGCAGTTTGTAACACTGGGCTGATAGTGGGAGAGAGGTGTGTTTCTGAAAAAAAAGGGTTTTAAGGAGGAAGTTGTTAGTGGCATAAAATACCTGGGAAAGTGGAAGAGAATGAGAGGATTGAAAGATGAGTGAAAACGGCAATGAGGTTGAAAAGATCAAAGAGGAGCTTCAAGTGTGCAATATTCAGGGGTAGAAAGACAGTGTTCAGTACTTAGTGTGGAATCACAAACCGGTTGCCCTGTGAAAGCTGTCACCTAGTTTTGTATTATGTGCTTGGTCTTTCCCGTGTAGCTCACATACTGTCTTTAGAATTTCTAGTGTTTTGCCTGCATGTAAGTACACCACAAGCATGCAATGCCTGTGGAGGCCAAAAGAGGACACTGGATTCCCTGGAACTGGAGATACTTCAGTTGTTAGCCACCACGTGAGTGCTGGGAATTCAACTGGGGTCCTCTGCAAAAGCAGCCAGCACTCTTAACCATGGAGGCATCTCTCCACATGACATGCTATTTTAAAAAATATGCAATCATAAAAAAAAAATTCCACCGGATTTTATTTAATAATCTTATTGACTTTTAGTCACACATGTAGTGGTCGGAATCCCACCTGTAAAATAGAAAGATGCTCTCATAAGCTGATACAAATATTAGTTTGGCAGGCAGAAAAAGCCCCAAGAAAGCAGAAATGAACAAAAACCAAGTCAGTCATTTGAAAATTACTTTCTGTATGTGGTGAAAGCAGAGGTGATTTCTTCATGTTGGCTCAGGTGGAATGAGCCCCTTACACTGCCAGTGACTCTTCTGTTTTGTTGGAAAACTGGCCTATATTAAGCTTCTATTTGATTATACTTCATGTTGCATGAGTGACTGTTCTGTCGGGTCCTAGTGCAGGGGCTCAGCTCCAAACAATGACCTCACATGAGTTTTAATTCACATTGCCAGCATTTAAAAGTCAAAGTATCTCACATAACAGTAAGCCCTTCCCAGTTCTTTCAAAAACTTCAGACATCTGGCAACACAGGATTTGGGTTTCCTTACTGTAGCAAATGCCTGGAAGTGACTAGAGACTACACCTGTTAGGTGGAACACGTACTTTCCTCTCCGCCAAGGAACTGTCCATCCTTTCCCAAAATATGTCTTATATGTGGCTCATCTGCAGTAATTTAACATTTCAGCATGCAGATCAGAAGCTTTTAAATGAGCTTTTGCCAGAGTTACCTTGAATGCCCTGCCTCACAGTATCTAACCTCAAAAGCCAAGCTTAGTGTGTTTAGATGCTCCTAGAGCTCGGATGCCTTCTCAGGTAATTCTTTAGTATACCTGGATGAATACATAATTCACTTTTTCAGTCTTAGATATAGGAAAACTTCAGTCTTACTCTTTTAAAAATTTGTTTGTTCATGTGTGTGTGTGTGTGTGTGCACATGTGTGATACCACATGCATGTGGAAGTGAGGGGATATTGTAGGAGTTGGTCCTCTTCCACTATGTGCATTCTCAGGGGAGGACTGAGATTGTCGGCTTTGGTGACAAGCACTTTACCTTTAGAGTCTCCTTACCTACCTCTAAGTCTTCCTCTTAATCTTAGTTTTCCTTATAGCATCTGAGGTTAGTGAAAAGTGGGAGAGAGAGAAATGATGAAGTGTGGAGGGCCAGAGGGCTCTGCAACTATAAGTAAGACATATTTGCTTTTGTGTACTATAATGATGCTTCCAATTAAAAAAATATGGGTGTCTAATATTTTTGATCCATCCAAGGTTCTATATCAGTAAAATTGTCATTAAACTGGAAATCTAGGGTAGTAGATTAAATGTACTCCTCTCTGGAGCCATGAACTATGGAAACATATCAGGGTTGTCAATCTGATTATGTCACCCATATAAATGTATATAAGTGAGAGTCTATTTTCTGATGAGATTCTTGGGAATCAAGATATTAATTTTAGGATGTATGAAATGTCATAAGGAAACCTGCCACTTTGCATGCTAAAATTAAAAAAATATTAAAGGAGAGCATGTAATATATAAATCCATCATCTGAGGCTCTTAACAGTGTAAACTGTAGTGAAATCTGGCAAGTGATTATGTGAAATTAAAGCTTCTCTAAAAGGATTAGAAAAAACTTTTGTGGTTCATAAAGTGGTCTAAATATTTATTGTGGCTGTAGTTTAATGGAATATGTACATAACAAAACTCGTTTGATTATAATTTTTATATACACGTACTTATTGGACTTATCATACAATGAACATCAATAAAGTTCACTTAGATTTGTTCAAAAATATGTTGGCTGAGCATGCATTGCCACCGTTGCTGCCTTGATTTAGCATCATACACATACAGAGTAGCACATGCACCATCATCCACTGGGCATAGACTGAAAAAATAAGTAAGGGATGTTGTGTTGTAGACCCAAAGGAAACCCATCATCCACTGAGCATAGACTGAGTAAGGGATGCTGTGTTATAGACCCAAAGGAAACCCTAGGTATCTCCATGTGGTTGAGCCTGACACCCCTTTAAATCAGAGCTCTCCTCTGTTGTTCCAACTCTGCATTTATTTATTCATCTAATTTAATCATTTATACGTTTCACTCATTTCACAAATATGTATCCCTAGAGATAGAAAAATGATAAGATACTCTGCAAGTCCTTCAAGGAACTTTAATGGGACAGAATAATCTATAACCATGACGTTTATAACTCAATGTCTTAGTAATAAGAATTGTAAACCACTGGTGTGGAGACGACCTACTCCTTAAACAGACCAAAATCAAGGAAATCTTGGTTCCTTATCAGAGTGGTATTTACTTCTCATCTAGTTTAAGCCGATGTCTTTACAGCAATTGTCTGGAAGGATTTGGGACTTCTGCTTACCTATAGACTTGGGAGCTGAGGGCAGCTGGAAGATTGACAGGGAAGTCCTGCCACCCACAGAAGAGCAGACAAAAGATACTTGGGAGCTGTCTTTAAGTCTGTTTCCTAATGCTTTACATATGTCCACTTCGGAAAATTCTCCCCATTAGAAAGTGTAAGGAGAAGGGCCATTATTGTGTGAGTGACAGTGAAACATGGTCAACATTCTTGTTACCTGCGGATCCAGATTCTTTTCATCAGCCCACAAGTTCCTGACCCTTTCTCTTTCAGAAAACCATGACTCAGCATTCTATTCTTGTCACTCTCACGTTCTGGACAAGGGTCTAACATTGCTCTATTTGCAACCTAAGATGTTAGGCTGCCACCGTTCCATAGGTGCCACAAGAAAACCCCCAAGACAAAGACAAGAACTTAGTATTGGTGACAGTAGCGGTAACACAAGCTACATTTCTAATATCTTTTCAGGCCCCAATTCCACAAGGGCCTTGCACAGAAGGCCACAGGACAAATTCCTTTTAAATAGGTTGGATTTCCTCAGTCAGGAGAACATACGTCTTTTATAATGATCAGTTAGCAAACATATCCTTTGCTCTGGAAGTAGACATTATGTCTATCATCAAAAGCTGTGGTTATAAAAGATCCTTAGAAAAGAATGGCACACAAAGGCAGTCAGTGTCTCTGCTTGGTCAGAGAGCTAGCTCAAAGAGCTACTATGCAGTAGAGATTCCCAAACGCACGAAAACTTCATCTTTTTATTAAGCATGCTCAGCTTTTACCAGGTCATTAGTTTACTTTGGAACAGTCCAATTTCAACATTCCCTGGTGGAACACTTTGAAATTTAGACTTGACTTTGAATAACTGTCCCCTTTTGTGCTTTCTTCTCAGGAGCAATGTAAAAATGGGTTAAGAAGTACGTTTGTATTCTAAAACCGATGCAAGCAATAGCTAATAACATTTATTAAGACCTTAGGTATTTTATTTTAAGGAGCATGTTAAAAGTCTGAAAACCATTTAGTAAGCACTGACTTTAAAATTTCCTTTTTTTAGGTTACAGTTTGCAGTGAACCAATGGAAAATGCTTCTTGCATTGAGCAAAATAAAGAAAATCTGTGTTTTGAGAATGAAACTGATGAAAAAACATGTGTAAGTGTTGTTTTCTTTGTTAAAATGCTTAACGGAAAGTATCCTGTTCTAAAGAGACACCGTTTCCAGTAGGAGTCAAATAAAAGAAAATGCTTAACCTAATTTCTAGCTATGGTCTGGTCAGCACGTTGTCTGCACTGATACTGAATGCATCATCATTTTGAGTGGTTGGTTATGGGTTTCGGTGTGGGGATCTGTAGTTTTTTTTTACATTTCCAGCCATCACACAAGTATTTGGAAACTGCTTCACTAGTTTTGGAAAATAAAAGATTTTTGTTTCACTGGAAGGTTTTATTTAAGCTATTTGAGACACCTTTAATATACTAAGTGTGTCCAGGAAGGGACGCCATCTGATTTGGTGATGGCACTGTTTTTCTCCTGAATAAGTGAGGGAGAATGGCTGTCCGTGCTGAAATCATGCATCCTTAGAAAATGAACTTTTGGACTTCCTGGCTGTCCACAAGGATATTTGTACTTTTGCTTCCTAAAGATGAAATTATTAAACTGGAAATAACTGCCAGTTTGTCAGGCAACCAAACAAAGTAAACACTGGACACATGTTGGAGAAACTTCTGTATTATTAATAAACTTATACTCTAAGGTGTGGTATTTTATCTTATAGGAAAGCTATGAGACTTTAACAAGATCTTGATTATGAACATCTTTACTATTGTCTAGCAAACAGTATGTTTATGATTCTGCTGAAATGAGTTGCATGTTTTACATATTTTTTAAATTAGTTTTTGTCCTTATTTATTATGTATGTGTTTTACCTGCATGTAAGTGCAACTATGTCCTGTAATGCCTGTGTAGGCCAGAAGGGGGCACTGCATCCTCTGGAACTGGGGTTATGGGTGGTTGTTAGCCACTATGTGGATGCTGGGAACTGAACCCAGGTCCTCTGCAAGAGCAACCAGTGCTTTAACAGTTGATTCATCTCTCCACCCTTGTGGAGACTAAAAGTAAAGGCATCATTGAAAACTTTAGAATTTTATTGATGGAAAAACATTTTACATTTAATGAGTTTATTTTAATATCATTCCTGTATATATTTGGAACAATTTAAATTATTGGAAACATTTTGAAAGGCTATGTTCTATGTTCCAATGAATCTACTATGTAAAGATAAACATTTGATATTCCGGATTCCAGTGAGAAACTATAAGGATGTTCAATCAACTCATAGGGGAAAATGGAAAAACCAAATGAAAGAATTAACAGATCTTGGTTACTAAGTAAACTGAGATTTGGGTGATACATGAACAAAAACTGGGAGATTAGGAAGGGCAGATGACACATAAAATAAAGAATAAATTTGATTGTGATATATTAAATTTGAGGCAACCGGGGAAAGACAAAAGGAAATAGAGAAGTTCACATACGTTTTAAAAAATATGTTATTATTTTTATTTTAGTGTATGAGTGTATTTCCTGCTTGTATGTGAGTGCACCTGTGTTGTGCAGTGCCGTGGAGATCAGGATAGGGCTTTGGATTCCCCTGGAACTGGAGTTAAGGACGGTTCCTAGTCACAATGTAGGTGCTGGGACTCAAACCTGGGTCCTCTGCAAGAGCAGTCCATGCTCTTAACTGCTGAGCCATCTCTACAGACCCTCACATAAGTTTTGAAAACTAAATGTAGTATCTAAAGTAGGACAGTGTGAAAGGATAGGACAAAAGAGCCACAGTCTGGAGCTTTCTGGCAGGTGTGTCCAACCTGTCGCTCCTGAGTTGTGTGTGCTCCAGGATGGCTAGAAATGGGGCCCAACCATAAACTTATGTAAAATATGAAATCTTTTTGTCTCTCAGTTACATGTTTCTTGAGTTTGAATTTTGTGAACATAGATGACAGTACAGTGTTGCAATGTCAACAGTTTGGACATTTCTGGTAGAATTTCTATCTTAACTTTGTTAGAAAGTAGTCATGTGACTTCAAGCAAATTAAATGATACCTTTATTTGTAAAACAAGATAGTACTGACTGCTGTAATAAGCATGAAATAAAAAAGTTGTTTGTGAGAGGATTGCTAGCTAAATGCTCTGGATACTTCATAAATTCAGTGAAATGAATAAATGCTTCCTAAATATTTTGTTTAAATAGATATATCAGTTGTTTGATAACTAATTCTAATTTCTTCATCAGAAAACAGATTACTGTTATCCCTGTGAATTAGAACTTATTGACAAAGGCACTAAATGGATAATTTGTAAATAATACAATGAAAGTTTGGTCTCATTTTAACAAGTGCATAGAGGTCGTCAGGTGGAGAGAAATGTGATTTTAGGGAGCATATCAGAAGAACTGTGGTGGAGGAGGAAGGTATGATGGAAACTCAGAAAATTTTGGTCATTGTTTTGATACACTTACTGCCTAGGTGTTCTTTGCTAAGTCATTATGTTAACCTGTGTCTAACTTTACAAATCCCAAGCAACAGGGCAGATTAGATAAATTGTAAATACTTTAAAATTACATTTATATCGCTTTGAGAGGATACTGATGGGAGTGGAAATATTATAAGAGCTGGAGTTGGCTCATGATCATAAGAAAACAGAGTCTACCAGGCCTCTGGAAACTTGCTCATATACGCTTACAGTGATGGTGTCAGCATGCACACGACCCATGCACACTCAAGCAGACAAAACCCCAGCACATAGAACTGGGGAGATGGACAGCAGGCACCAACTTTAGTCAAAGAACTATTTGCAGTTGATTACTGCTAGGTGAGGGAGAATTGATATTCTTTAAGGGAATGACTCTAGAAGGTTAACTAGACCCCAGTGGGTGAATCTGTACTCAGGGGTGTCTGGTTGCTTGAACTTGACTTGATAGGCCTTAATGTATATGACAGAATGCATGAAATTCAATGGGGAGGATTATAGAGGGTACAGATGGGGAAGGAGATATAATGTTGATTATGATGTTTTGTATGAAAAACACACAGATTCAATAAAAATATACTTGTGAGGTCCAGCTGGAGTTTGGGGGTGGGGTATGAGTAGGGAGGAGTCTAAATTTGATTAAGAACTGTTGCATGAAATGTACAAAAGCTCAATAATTTTTTTAACAAAGGAAGTAAGACCCTAAAGAATATGTCAACCAACCAACCAACCAAACAACCAAACAACCAAACAAACAGATACCAAGAGCATATTTTACTAGGTTCATCAGCCAGTTGTCAATTCTGGGCCAATTTATCATGTATCTTTTCTGCTCCTCTGTACATGCTGCTGAGTAAGGCTATAGAAAGGATGCATACTCTTGAATCAATTATAGGCTAATAGTTTTAAGTGTTAACTATTTAGACTTAAGTTTTGCACATAATGCACTTTTAAACTTTTGTGCTTCATATCCTTACAACATGGAAAAGAAAAGCTGTAAACTCATATTATCATTCACATAGTAGAGGAGTTGAATATAAAATACACTTTTAAAAATTTTACAACTTACTAAACGGGATATACATCTCAACTACCAGTACCCAAAAGATTAAAACAGACATTTCAACAAAGAAGCTTTATATCTGTTAAAAATGCTGATGATGCACCTGGCCTGTTGGTGCATACCTTTAATCCAAGAGCTCAGTACTCAGAGGCAGGCAGATGGACCTCTGTGAGAACGAGGCAAGCTTGGTCTACATGGTGAGTTCCAGATCAGCTGAGGCTAGAGGGAGACCCTGTTTCAAAAACTACAACAATAACAAAATGCTGGTAATAAGAGAAAACTGGGATTATCACACATTATTTGTAGGAATGACATGGTATAGCAATTTGAAAGGCAGGAAATCTCATAAAAAGTCAAAAACAAATTTATAAAACGCAGAACTTAGATCTACAGGTATCAATCATGGAGAAATACAACATGATGCTCCATACAGATTTACCCCTGAATATTCATAGCATTATTCTTTTATTTAATTTAGTAACCACATGATTAGAAGAAGCATTTCATTACAGCTTTAACATATTCAGTAACAATATCCAGAGCAAGGATACATCTCTTTCAAAAGTGGCTATAAATTTTTAGGTTCACATTTGAATTAATACAGTTATACAATATTGAGCTCAGTATAAACCCTATAAGAAATAAAATTGAAGGAGTTTTTAACCTTTAAAGATCTCCATTTCATTTAAAAATATGCTGTTTCCTACATTTTTAATGCTACTAACACTTAGAGTTTTGTACGTGGGTCTCTAAACTCTATGTATCTGATGATTATTAGTCACAGTCGGTTACACTCAGGTTCTTGGCACCTGAGTATGGATATAAAGTCATCAGGTAGATTTCAATTATAATGTTTATCACCTCTACTAATTAACATGAAGTAAATTTTTATGCTTCCTCCTCAAATATGGCTTTTCTTTTTAATTGGTTGTTTTTTTTTTGTGTATATCATACAGAACATCCAAGACAACCTTATTCATTTTTATATCCACTTCCCAAATGGCACCCTCCCATATCCCCCTCTTTACTGGAGCAGATATACTCTGTCATCCCTGTTACTGTCACTGTGTTGTCGGCACCCCCAGCCATTCCCCAGTGCTTGTCCATCAGCTGAATCTAGTCAGCCTGTCTAGAGATCCTTGTTTTAGGAAGATCAGCTATTCCTCATCTAGCAGCAATCAGTTGTCAATATTCCTTTAGATAAGATTGGGGTCTGCTGTTCATTTTCCCAGTTCTATGCTGGGTTACTGTCTGGGAGTCTCTTGGGCCACCCTGGCCAGTAACTCAAAGGAAGGCATCTTCTGTCTGGCATTGTTTCTTGTTTTGTAGCCTTTAGCTATACATATGGACTCTTAAAAAATTATATTGACCCCATTAATCTTTGGTTATACTTTCCTTTTGGGTGTTTAAGATCCTACAATTGGCCCAGATAAACCAATTTATTTTTACTCTTAAGGTTGTTTGAGGATCTGTTCCTCAGGGATAACATGGGCTTGGGAGGAGCCCCTGGCTCCTTTCTTTAACCAGTTCCATCTATGTGAAGATAAGTCAAAAGTCCTGC